TATTAATCTCCTCTTCTCTAAATCAAAATTTTCTGGTGAGAAACATCCATATCCTCCCTGAGTAGGTCAAATTTTAAACATAGCATGCACAAATATAGTGGTAACAAAAAGTGAATCTTATTAATGATAAGTGTTTTCTTTTCAAGTTAATATTGAATAAGATTGTGTTGTTCTTTGACTGTAAGATCCATGAAAAGAGAGAGTGACTGTTGTTCCTATTACTTTATTACGTAATAAATACAGCAACATCTATTACAATAATAAAGTAAAATTATTATATTCATTTCTGTGTAATTTGAAATGGTAGATTTTTCTTTCAATTTTTTCCCATTTTGTCTTGCTTCCAAGCAAAAATGAAGAGGTGATGCTTGGAGTCCCGAGATGGGATGGATTTCCTCTGTGGATGTCAAGACAGTGGAAGGACCACTATCCCAGATAAGCATGGATCCTTGGGCACGTGTAGAGATATCTTGGCTCTCGGCATCAACCCAGACTCAGAACGACATGGGAACCTGGAGGGGATGGTATTGTGTGCTGCCGACATCTCCAGCTACCCGCGAATATTCAGGATCAGAGAAACAGAGCTGCTCGTCCCAGCCGGACTGTGCGGACATGGCGGATGGGAGCCTCTGAAATGAGCCTCTGAACTCGTCCTTCACTCACTTCCTCGTGACTGGAGTTGCTGAAAATGCTGGGACTGTCTGACCGCTGTAGGGTGGTTTCAAGGAAAAAAAAAAAGTGTGGAGCAGGTTTTACCATCTCAAATACCATGTGTATGGAGCAAAAATTAAACTAACAAATTGATTCAGTTTTACACAATTGATACCGTGGACTGGAATACTTCCCAGAGCACACGACTCTGATCCGCACCGCATCCAACACGGGCACCGTTGAATATGTGACACTTTGTTGTCAAGACAACACATATGTTATATATGTTAGCCCTGCCTGTGCAATAAGGTAGACATCTTTTGGATACTTCTTGAAGGAAAATTATTATGTTTATTCCCCAATGGTATTGAAATAGTAGACTTTGTTGATTATATGACAGTAAAAATACAATACATCATTTTTTATTGCAATATTACATAACAATACAATATGTAACAACTACATCATTCGATGATGTACTGTATATTTATTTTAGTGTGTCATATACATCAATACACATAAGGTAGGGAAAGAATGAGCAAGGATTGGGACATTCCAATGAGCCTGGATTCTGGAAGCTGGCAGGTCCGGCATCACTACTTGAGCATATTATACATGGAGCTCAGCTGCGATAATTCTCCTGAGTGCTATACCTTTTCTGAGCAGAATCAAATGCCTGTGTGTTGAGCTGTGATATGAAATCAAGCACCATTCCACATAATCTGGGTCCAGTTCTCCAGGTCCAGAGTGGGAAGCTGGACCTGTGCCTTCCACCCTGTGCCTGGGAGCCCCACGCGCTGGGATCAGTTAATTTCCTCTGCTGGTTCCCCCGTGCTCTGGGAATAGAATCACCTGGGGGCTTGATACTGCAGATTCCTGGGCCCACAGAGAGAGTGGTGGAGATTCACATAGTGTGGTCCGGGAGCCTGCGGCACCAGCACCACCTGGATCCCGTCAGAGCCAAGATCCTCAGGCCGGCCCAGTGCACTGGAATAAAAGGGCCTCAGGGAATTTAATGCACACACTAGTCTGAGAGGCTCTGGTCTAGTCCTCAGCTGCCCAATGGACACCTAACATGAGCCACATGTATTAATTTAACAGATTTTGTAATCCCATAACAAAATATAAGAAGATTAACAGGCCACTTCGGTAACATATCTTAATGTACAAAAATATCTCATTTTCAGGTGCCTCTACCCAAAGTCCAGCTGGACAATAACCCTTGTGTCTGCTGTGCTGGAATGCACAACTCAGAACATGACTTAAATATTTTCTTTCCTTAAAAATCTGTAGTTGGCTCTAATCTGATATCAGGACTGAGGAACTGTTGCTTGAGGTACAGAAATCTGAGGTGCCAAGAAGTCCTCTAATCGGTAATTCCTGGAGAGCCTCTGCACAGCTGCCTGTTCTGCGGCCGCTGTGACAGGGCGGCTTGTGCCTGTTCCTCCAGGTGGGGCTCAGCACCTGGGTCGTGGGTAGAATAGATTTCATCTGGGCTCCGACCCTTGACCTGGGAAACCAGCTTCTGCAGATGCCAACTGTGCCTGATGTCCTTCTTCTGATGGGACCCAGACTAGAGGGGACACCGAAAACCCTCCCTGAGGGCCACGGAGGAAGAAGACATAATCACATTTTGGACGCCTGGACTTTCCGAGATAAGCCAGACAGATACCACATCTCATGCTTCTTTAGATGTTCAGCCATATTCACTGTTGGGGAAAATGTGGGTGATGATGGGGTTACCCGGAGAGAATGCGTGTTGGGCCCGATTCCCTTTCATCTCTACACGCACAGAGATGTGGAGTCCCTGGCACGTCCTCCCTAGTACTACACAGTAAGGACACAACACGTGTACAGACGTGGTGCTCATTGTCCAAGTACTCCTGGTCCTGACCTTCTGATACTGCTTTGCTAGGTAGCATGAAGAAACCCATAAAGTGCTTTCTCTCTACTTATTTTCAGTCAATCATGAACAGGAGTTACATTTTCTTGAGTAGCAGGAGATGTCCTCATTTGAGGGAAAGACAAAGTCCAGTGGTTTGATTTTTGCCCCTAGTAGTTACCCTAAAACATCTTTCAGCCTGGAATTACGTTTATTTTCATTTTCGGGGTTAGCTTTTATTCCCTAAAGGAGAGGAAAATAACAAATTAGGTAAATTTTGTAGTTTAATCAGATATATTAGTAGGTGGGTTAGTAGAAATAAACTAGAAATTCTGTGGGAAATCTACACCAGGAACTAGTGTAAACTAGTGTAAACTAGTAGAAATAAACATAGAAATTCTATGGGAAATCTACACTAGGAACTAAGGTTATAAAACTGCTAACTTGCTTTATGGCGTCTGTAACTTACTTTCTTAGAAGGCACAGGGCTGCACGGGAAAGGTAATGCAAGGCCGACACGCATGCCTGCCCACTGCCTGCTCAGCACCTGCCCCCTAGGAGTAGAGACAACTACTTTGTAACTGTGCCCCTCACCCTTCCTAAAAATGTATAAAGGACGGTTTCACTCTTTGTTCGGGGCTCAGAATTTGGACCCTGTCCTCTGAGCCTCACTGGTGAATAAAGGCTCGTCTTCTCCCCGCCCGGTCTCTGGGTCAGTCCTTAGGAGAAGGGGACCCTGCGCCTCCTGCCACATCCTGGCCCCTTGCCAGGAGGGCGTTTGATTGATGGGACCCAAGGCGCCTTAGGCTGCACGGCGGGGTCCTCAGTTTCCCTGCTGACACTTGCCACTGAGAGCACTCCCGAGGCCGCTGTTGCCCCGAGTGGGAGTCTCACCTGGACCACAGGAGCCCCCACTGGTGCAGGGATGTGATCAGATAACTCTTCACCCAGGCAGACGCACGCACCATTTATCTGTCTTTCCTTCTGGAGACGTAGAGTCAGAACTACTTTCTGTTGCGCGGGGCCCAAGGGTGAAGCTCATGCTCCCTGTGAGCTGATCGGAGTCTCCAACAGGATGCACATCCACAGGGACAGCTATCACCTGCCTGCCATACGCACCTCTTCCGGCCCCTGGAATAAAGTCACTCGGGACAGGGGGTGTGCAGAGCTCCCAGTGTACAAAGTCAGCTGCCACACCTGCGGTGGGGTAGAAGGTGGGCAGAGAAAGGAGGCATGGAACTGGAGGTGTGCCAACTATGTGGATTTTGATTTCTTCTTTGTCTAATTTTTTGAATTATGGAAATACTGATGGCAAAAATCACTTAAGAATCTCCATGCATAACGTGGCCTCCGTTTTAACCACAGCCCCCTTTGGTCTTTTTGAATCTCTTTTGAATGTACTTGATAGATACACATCAAGGAATCAAGCTGCAGGTTAAACACTCTGTGTGATTCTCCAGGCCTGACAAAGGCTGTGCCCGGCCAGCCTCCTCGGGAAGCTGCCCTCCCTGCACCAGGTGTGGCTGTCTCTGAGCAGCTGCAGTCTAGGACCGGGGTCCTCTGGCTACTGGTGTGCTGTCACTACCTTTGTGTTCCTACCCAGGTGCTTTCTTTCCTGGGTCTCCAACCAAGGCCTTGGGTGGAGCCCCTCTTCAGGGGCCTCTGCCCAGGCCTCCTTTCGGGAGGGAGAGACACTTTTCCCAACTGCGATTCAGCACCCAGTCTATTTCCACTCCTAGCTCTTCCTGCTCACACCCCTCCTGCCCCCCGTGTTTACCCAGAGTCTACAAAACTGCCAGAACTGTTCTTTGGGCATCTCTAAACAGTGAGGAAACACCTGTGTCTGGGCGGATCCTCGTGACCCTCGACAGGTGTGTGTTTGGGGGAAAGTGGGTGGAGGAATTGGTGCCTTCTTGGGTCAGACTCTTGCTTATGCTGCGGTAAGGGTCCCCCCGCCCCTATGAAACAGAAAAGAAAGAAAACAATAAATTCTATGGGAAATCTACACCAGGAACTAAGGTTATAAAACTGCTAACTTGCTTTATGGCTTCTGTAACTTACTTTCTTAGAAAGCACAAGCCTGCACGGGAAAGGTAATGCAAGGCCGACATGCATGCCTGCCCACTGCCTGCTCAGCACCTGCCCGGCTAGGAATAGATACAACTACTTTGTAACTGTGCCCCTCACCCTTCCTAAAAATGTATAAAGGACCGTTTCACTCTTTGTTCGGGGCTCAGAATTTGGACCCTGTCCTCTGAGCCTCACTGGTGAATAAAGGCTCGTCTTCCCCTGCTGGGGTCTCTGGGTCAGTGCTTAGGAGAAGGGGACCCTGCGCCTCCTGCCACATCCTGGCCCCCTTGCCAGGAGGGCGTTTGGTTGACGGGACCCAAGGCGCCTTAGGCTGCACGGCGGGGTCCTCAGTTTCCCTGCTGACACGTGCCACTGAGAGCGCTCCCGAGGCCGCTGTTGCCCCGAGTGGGAGTCTCACCTGGACCACAGGAGCCCCCGCCCGGAGCCCCAGCCTGGGCGCAGACCAGGGGAGGAGCCAGGCTCTGGCAGACGTCTGAACCGCGGTAGGAGCCCGGGCCTCACCCCGTCCCGCTGACGGAAGCCCTGACAGCCCGCGGACTCCTGTGTCCCCTACAGCAGACACCGGCCGCGCTGGCCGGGCGGGACGTGCGGGTGCGGGGCGTGGACGAAGGGCGACGAGACGGACCGGGCGGTCCCCAAGCTCCACAGGCCGGGGCGGGAGTTGACTCTGACCCGCGGGTCCAGGGCCACCGCACAGGGCTCAGGGCCCAGGACGTGACAGCCGGGTCGCGGCCTGCAGGTGCTGACAGGGCCTGGGACATCCCTTAGGGAGGACAGGACAAGGCACAGGGTGTCCGTCTCTCCGCGTGGAGAGGCCTCGGTGGACCCGGACCTCAGGAACCGAGGGCAGACGTCAGGGAACACCCACAGCCTTAGAGATCGCGGTTAAGAACGTTAGGAAAGCGTTTATGGGGACTATGGGGTCAAGAGGAGGGCCCCAAGCTGAGGGCACCCGTGAATCCCATGGCCTGCTGGTGGGCGCAGTGGCCACTAGAGGGCGCGCTAGACAAGGCTCTCACTCGGGCAGTGAGGACGGTAGAGACAGGGGCCCAGGTCACCCGACCTTCCCCTCTATGGATACTTGGCTGCAACTAGAACTGAACCCCACCCCCTTGGCTTAGGGGTCCCGTTTCCCGTGTACTAGTAGCAAAGAAGGGAGAAAGAGGCAAGATGACTAGGGTCTCTCGAGGGCCAATGAAAGGGGCCTCAGGTGCACCCGTGCTGGCAGGAGACCCGGAGCGCCTCGGCCCGGATTCGCCTCCAGCGTTTGCTCCGGGGCACCAACGTCAGCCCCCCAAGCAGCCGACGTCTCCCGCCTCTCCTCAGGTCACCTCACTGGAGACACGTTTGGACCCCGATCCTCACACTCAAGATCCCTGAGGGGTCTGGGGAACAGTCTTGTTTAAGTCCAGAGCTCTGCCCTTCTGTCTGGGCAATGCCGGAGACCACTGATGCTGACCCTCCTCCAGGGGGAAGCCCTCGTCCACCAGTACTCTCCCCGTACACCCCAGGATTATATCCACGAGATCAATAGCAATTGAGGGAGGTCCGAGGTCCTGGACAGGTGGGAGATGACAGTCAGATTCAACTGGGCCACCCCACCTTGGTCTGTCAACCCTTCACAACTGCTGACCTGTTGAATTGGAAACATCACGCCCGTCCCTTGCTGAGAGCCCCCAGGGGATGAAACATTTGGTGCAGTCAACCTTCCAGACCCCTAACAGGAGGAGGGCAGTCAGCCCCTTTATAACACAGGAGAACCGCAGCGTGTCTTACAGGCTGCCGCTGAGCAGGTAGAAGAAAATGCCCTGCAGAGACCGTAAACCCTGAGCCTTATGCTCAGAGACGACTCCCAGCAGAAGAGCCGAGTGGGACCCAGGCAATCCTCATGGCATGAGACAGGTGTCGTGTGCCTGCTTATGGGCCAGTCTCTGGGTCAACGCCGTTACAACAGGACGTCAGAGGTGCCTCATAATTCTGTCCAGAGCAAGGAAGAGAGTAAATATGCAAGGAAGAAAGGAAAAAACCGATCACTAAGTAATGCAGAGAAATGTAGAAATTCAAGTGTAAGGCCAGGGAAGGCGTACAATACGGAAGGTGGTGAAATATCCTCTGAAGTAAGCATCATTTATTCATTTGTCCTGGTTTTTACCTCAAACCAGGGAGGCCCTCTTATGAGGCATCCACAAAGTGGGGCAGTGGTCCCCAAGTGAAACCAAAGTCACTAAGATACTGCAGAGGCCATGTGAGAGTCCGGGAGCCTCCTACGAGAGACCGTGTGGGGACTCTCAAGCAGATACTCCCTTTGACCCTGAGGTCCCCGAAATCAGCGAGTGATCCACACTGCTTTCTTGAGACACAGTGTGAGGGACACACACCCCAAGCTGCAGAAGCCTGAATGGTTTGCTGGGATGAAGGCCACTCAGCTCTTGGAGGTCGTGAACTAGGTCTTTGTGAGCAGGATGTTTTACTATAGTAAAAACAGCCCATGAGGCCACTCATCCTGGGCAAGAAACTACACAAAAACTTTTGGGAAGATACTTTGACATCCAACACCTCCCTGCTTTCGCTAAGAACCCAAGCTTGCCTTGCACCATTTGCAGCTGTGGACAGAAAAATCCAAACTCTGAAATTATTTATTTATTTATTTTTATTTTGGCATATTATGGGGGTACAAATTTTAAGGTTTCAATAAATGCCCTTTCCCCCCGCCCCCCACAAGTCTGAAACTCTGAAATATTTTAAAAGAAGTTTATTCTGAGCCAAATTTGAAGACCATGATCCGGAGCCACTCCCAAAAAGCTTTGAGCAAGTGGACTCACTGTGGCTGGGTTAGTTTAGTTTTATGCACTTCAGGGAGATAGGTGTTACAGGTAAAGTCATCAGTCAATCCGTGGAAGGCATAATTGGCTTTCCCAGAAAAGGTGGGCCATCTCGAAGCGGGGTTGGGAGGGTGGGGGAGCTTACATAGGTAGGTTTAAAGTTTCCTTGCCTTGTAATTGATTAAAGACATGAAGCTTTGTCTAAAGATCTGGAATGTTTCAACATAAGGAGCTGTTCTCAGAGATAAGCCACCAGATATAGAGTTTTGTGTAAATGGAGCACCTGCAGGTTTGTCTCAGGCCTGTTAACGGGTTACAAAGGATGTCTCCAAGAAGGGAGGGAGGCCATGATGAGGTAAGTATGACCTCCTTCTTCCTGACAGAAAATTTAGTTTTAGAGTATTCCTTTGGCCACGAGGGGGTCCATTCAGTCATCTGGTGCGGGTCGCTGAGCCTTAAAATTTTATTTTAGTTCACAGCCAACACAACGCCAAACAGGCCCAGTGATGTCTCCCGGAATTCAGACAGTAGGCGCTGCGCCCTTAGAGGACCTTCAGAAAGACTTCTCTGAGCTGCCTCAGTGCAACGGGTATGGATACTCGCTGGTACTGGTGTGCACCTGCTCAGGGTGGGGTGAGGTTTCCCTTGCAGGACTGAGAGGCTCGAGAGCTAGTGAAGGTCCTATTAAGAAAAATAACCCCTCCATCTGGACTCCGCTTACAGACTGGCTCAGACAACGGGCCAGGATCACAGCAGCCATAGTCGGAATGACCTCCAAGGGGTTAGGGACCTCTTGGAAGCTACGTGCCACTTACAGGCCCCAGAGTTTGGAGAGGTAGAGAAAATAAACAGAACCATATGGCAGGATTAGAAAATCTATGCCAAGAAGCAAACCTTACCTGGGTCAAGCTCTCCCTATGATCCCGTTTAGAATCAGGTGCACCCCACTAAGAGAACAGGACACTCGCCCTATGAAGGGCTGTGTGCTAGGCCTCCTCCCATGCTTAGGTCCCTGCCCAGACGACTGACAGTACAGGGAGAACTAGAAATTCATACGGTAATGGAGGGACTAGGAAAGATATCTAATGCCTTAAATAAATAATTTCAAGAGAGAGTCCCCATTAGCTTGTCAGCACCCAAACACCCCTTCTCGCCAGGGGATCAGGTATGGGTAAAGGAATGAAATTCTACCTCACTTAAGGCAAAGTAAAAGGGGCCGTTCACTGTTATACTCCCCACCCCAACAGCCCTCCAAGGACTAACCACTCTTGCCAATAAATGAGCTGAAAATTCTGGTGCAGAGGATCCCATAGGAGATGGGATGAAAAGGTGGTTTGGAAAATAAAAAGGACTTATAACCTCTATATTAACTTCACTTATTATAGTTATAAAAGTACTTATCTTAGTAAGATGCTGTATTATGCTTTGCACCTGAAGATTAACTCAAAGACTAATACAAACGGCCCTTACTAAACACAGTTTGTTTGGGCCTCCTCCCCCCTAACTGGACAAATGCTACTAGCTGACATAGAAAAAAAAAATGAGAAATTTAAAGTGAGAATCTTTAAAATAAGAGTCTCAAAGAGGGGAATGTGTTAGGGGTCCCTAAAAAAAAAAAAAAAAAAAAACGGAAGAAATTATGTGGGAACTCTATGCCAGAAACTAAGATTGTAAAACTGCTAACTTGCTTTATGACTTATGTAACTTTCTTTCTTACGAAGAACAGGCCTGCACCAGAAAGACAATTCAAGGCCGACGTGCATGCCTGGCCCCTGCCTGCCTGCTCAGCACCTGCCCCCCTAGGAATAGAGATAACTACATTGTAACTGTGCCCCTCACCCTTCCTAAAAATGTATAGAGAACTGTTACACTCTTTGTTACTGGCTCCGAATTTGGACCCTGTCCTCTGAGCCTGACTGGTGAATAAACGCTCGTCTTGTCCCTCACTGGGACTCTGGGCCAGTCCTTTGGAGAAGGGGGACCCTCCTACAACAATACCATCAGCACAATTCACAATTGCAAAGAGGTGGAAACAACCCAAGTGCCCAGCAATGCATGAGTGGATTAATAAAATGTGGTATATGTGTACCATGGTGTTTTACTCAGCGAAAAAGAACAAAGGTGATCTAGCACCTCTTGTGTTATCCTGGATAGAGCTGGAACCCATTCTGCTAAGGGAAGTAGCCCAAGAATGGAAAAACAAGCACCACATGTACTGACAATCAAATTGGTATTAATTGATCAACACCTATGTGCACATATAGTAGTAACAGTCCTCAGGTGTCAGGCAGGCGGGAGGCGGGAGAAGAGGATGGGTATGTACACACCTAATGGGTGTGGTGCGCACCATCTGGGGGATGGACACGCTCAAAGCTCTGACTCAGGTGGGGCAAGGGCAATATACGTAACCTAAACATTTGTACCCCTATACTGTGCTGAAATAAAAAAATAAATAATAAAACAAAAAACAATACCATCACCATACGTGACTACAGGATTAACACCTTCATTTTTGGCTGACTGTTGTTGTACTTGGCTGCTCGTGCCACCCGGCAGCTCCGCCTGCTCTCTCCCTGCTCAGCAAAGCTCCTGACACACATTGATGACGCTATTTAAAAATACAACTTTGAATTGAATTGATTTTTACCCAACATATGATAGCAAGTCAAATAAATTGCATTTGCAAAATTTCTTTTTTGAACGTCTGCAAAGTTCCAGAGCAATGCTTGTGGTCCATGTTTACTCATGCTGTTGTGATCTGTGAGAAGAAATTTATTTTCTATAAAAGCTAAATCTAGACATTCTGCATCATTAATATTAACTTATGCATATATTTGTGAAGCATTGTGATTAACTTAACTCAATGGGCACGTAAGAAATTTCCATTTTTATGTAACTGTGATTGATTCATTAGTATTTAAATTTTACAGTATTATTAATATTCATTCTTTATTAATTCATGATATAAAATCTTATTTGCTTTGATTATAGTATTTAGAATATATTGCTCTCCAGGGAGGAATAAACAATATATTTGCTAAGTAATCATGTTCAATGGTCTGAAATATGGGCTGATAGAATTTGGCCTTATTATCCCATCTTTGAGACAGATTCCAACCCCTGGTTCTGTCAATCAATGAATCCAAAGAAAAACAATCTCTTATGATTATCTTGTTGTAGTGGGCTCCATAAGCAAGAAAATATTTTCTTAATAATGTTTTTAGTTCCCTTAATTTTCAAATGAGTTTTCAGTGTTCACACTGTGTCGAGAGCTGGCTGCTCTAAATGGCCTTGAACTGGTGCTACCGTAAGAGTGAGTTTTATCTCAGCACTGGCAGCTTAGCAACTGCACTTTCAAAGTATGCAGAAAATAGATAGAGAGCCCTCAGTAAGATTTGATGACCAAAAATTTGTAACTTTGTTACATTAGTGCATTCTTTGGACTTTCTTTCTTCAAAATGGGGAAACCTCCTTGCAGCCAGGCCATAACGAGAGTCTTACCACATTTGTTAGTCCAAAGAAGATAAGTGATACCCAACAATAGATTGTGTTCAAGGACCAACTGAGCCTGCACACAACGCTGAAAATATGACCAATATTAACCTTTAGTGCATTATAATACTAAAATAGCAACTGGTCCTATAAGCAAGAAAATGTTTTCTCAATAATATTAACTTATTTGTATCTTTAATGTGAATTCTTGTAGACAGCACACAGTTTAATCCTGCATTTTAAACCATGTGACAATCCCTGTCTTTTAATTATTCTATTTAGACCTCTCACATTTAAATTAATAACAGATATAGTTGAATCACAATATATCTCTTTCTGTTTTTCATGTGCTACTTTTTTATTTTTATTTTTTGTCTGATTTAGGTGGATGTTCCATTTTTTCTTTATTTCTCTTTTTTGTCCTCTTTTATAATAAATGAGCATTTTATTTAACTATATTATATCTCATCTAGAAATTTATTATTTATACTTCTTTAAAATATTTAGTGGTCACCTTTAATTCATTAATGACTACACCCCCAAATAATATTATGCTGTTTTTCATGTACATGAGTCATTTCAATAACATATCTCCAATCCTTTTTTCTCTCTCATTCTTTTTGCTACCATTATCATAATCTTGACTTTTATATATGCTATAAACTTACAATATTTTGCTTTTTTATTTTAGGCAGTTCATGATCTTTTAGAATGATCAAAAATAAGTAAAAACAATGAATATATTCCATTTCCAATGTTATTTGTTCCTTTATAAAATCCAGGTTTCATCCTATCATATTCTTCCTGCTTGAAAACCTTGCTATAGAATATCTTGTGGCATAGCTGATAGCCATAAATTTCTTAAGTTTTTGTTTGAGCAATGAATGTTCACCAATGCCTGAGTCCTGTAGTGTTGCCCTTCCTCACGCAGATCACAGTGTTTTATCTTTTGTGGAGGTAGAGGAGAAGAATTTGATTCTTCTGTGGAAAAAACAGAGTTTCTGGTTTGAGTAGTAAATCCCTTTAGATGAAAGAAAATAAATGTCCCGCCAGTCCAGACCTGTGTTTCTCTCCTGAGCACAGGTACAGTTGCTAGTTCCTGCATAGGTGTGAAGCTGGGACAACTGTCCCTGGGAAGATAATGTTCCCTTAAAAGATGCTGCTAGAAGCCACTGTCCCCTGGTCCAACCCCTTTAGCTTGGCCAAGCCCATTGTGGAGAAACCTGAGGCTGATGTGGTATACTCTGAATGAGGAGCAGTGCTGAGTCCTCCACCTGTGACTGTACACCTAGATCTTCCAAGATTAGATCCCCATCCAACCATGTCTGCACACCTGAGTCTTCCAAGAGTAGCTCTCTACCCAACTTTTCCTGAATACCTGGATCTCCCAGATCAGATCTCCATACAAATGGGTCTATATACCTAGGCCTTCCGAGAGTACATCTTCATACAGGGTCTCCTACATGGCAGCTATTCATGTTCCCTTGGTTGCACCATAAGGAACACTTTTTAGGGACCTTTTAAACATTTTATGTGGGTGTATGATGGGATTCGTGAAATAGGCCTGAAATAGGGTGAAGATTTCACCAATTTCTGCAGTCCCCAGATTTTACACTGTCCTAGCAGCCTGTGATATGTCTTCACTGGTTTGGAAGCTATCCTAGATGAAGTCTTCTAACAGTAACCTTATTATGTTGACCCAGGTGAGTGGATATTCACATCCCCTTTCATTGAAGACAATGTCTGTCCTTGGCTTTTAGGTTAATTGTTTTCACTGCAACTCCAGTTCTCTGACAGTTCCAAAAAAGATCAGAATTCGAAGTTATTCCACCCTTTTTCTTGTAGACAAAGCAGCAAAGCTCATTCTAGTTCTGTACATTCCCAGAGGGAAGCCAGAAGTCCCAGAACACCTTTTCTGTGAGAAAAGCATTAGCCCCTTCAAAGTGACTCTCCTCCTATTGTACCAGAGTGTCCTCCCATGTGGGATTTGCTAAAGCAAGACTGTAAGGATGCTGAAGTGTGAGAGACAGGAAATCAGTGAGGCTCTGCCAGAGCCACTGGCCTGAAGAAGGACCCTAGGGAGCCGCTCTGCCCGTGAACACTCATTTTCTTGAAATAGAAAACACTCAGTGACTTCTTTCCTCAAGCTGCCATTTCCTGTCTTCGGGCTCACTCTCTACCCTCCTGCTTACTAGTCTGGATGTCACATTCTACTGATTTTTCAAGGGTTATCCAGGTCTAAGTCCAAGTTTGATTTTTAATTTCAGAATATCACGGGGGTACCCATGTTCTGGTTACATGGACTGCTTTCGTACTGCTTGAGTTAAAGTTATAAGCATGCCTATCACCCAGATAGTGGACACCGTACCCATCAGTTGTGATTTTACCCATCTCTTCCTCCCTGTCCCACCTGCATGATTTCTTTTGTGTTTTACTTCCATCTGTGAGCATGAGTGCTGATTGGTTAGTTCCAAGGTAACAGTGAAAAAATGTGGTATTTGATTTTCTGATCTTTTGATGTTTCACTTATCTAATATGTCCAAATTTTGACTCTCTTTCAAGGTCCGCTGTCTTTAATCCCAAGTATTGAATAAGACCTGCTGTCCTAGACCTTCAGAGAACTGTGATTTCTTCTGCATTAGTAACTACATTAGTGAGGGAGTTTGGCCTTCTTTGCTGCCTGATTTAAGGGGCTGTTGCGTCCAGTATCAGACCGTGGATCTGTCAGCCCTGGCTGCTTCACTGCAAAACTGTTTCAAGATGACCAGTAAATTCCTGTTTGAGGGGATATGGATGGATTCACACTTTACACCTCTAGAGAATGTGTGCTTTGCCCGAGATGAATTTCTGGTGAAAGACGATGATGTCATCCTAGTGAGTTTCCCTAGATCAGGTAAGAAGAATGTGTGTGTCTGTGAAGGGTGTGTGCCTGTGTGTGCATGCCTTTGTGTGTCCCTGTGTATGCGTGTTCAAAGTATGTAATTTGGTTTTCATTTTACAGGCTCGCATTGGTAAGAAGCTTAAGCTTCCTTGAGTCTCAGATGAGACTTTGGAATTTGAACTTTTGAGGTTTCTGGAGGGAGTTAGGACTTCTGGGAACTATGGTGAAGGGGTGATTGTATATTTCATGAGAAAGAAATGAGATTGGGGGGGGGTAGGAGTGGAATGCTGTGGTTGGTTTGGATATCTGTCTCCTCCAAGACTCATTTTGAAATTTGATCCCAGAGGTTGGAGGTAGGGCCTGGTGGGAGGTGTTTGGGTCATGGGGGCAGATCCCTGGTCAATGCCTTGGTGCCACCCTCAGGGTAACAAGTGTATTCTTGCTCTTTTATTTCTGGTGAGATCTGATTGTTTAAAAAAGACCAACGCAGGAGTGGTGGGCACCCTGCACCATTCTTGCCACACTAGTAAATGCAGTCATGACTTCCCAACAGTCCCCTTTCTTTATGAAAAGGATTTGTTCTGTAACATTTGGATTCAGTCAAAAGGCCACACTCCAGGATCCCAGGCCCCAAGGCCGCAGGGTCCCCACCCAAAAGACCTCACTCCACCATTGGGTGGAGAATGGACCCGGGCTGTGGGAATGCCTTCTGGAAGTGCCTGGGGCTGATACCTCTCCTCGGTGCTGGTCTGCAGTCGAAGGGGGACTGATACAGAAGACCCGGCCTCTCCCCTCAAGTTGGAGCAGCTCTGTAGTGCCACGAATGCGCCAGAGGACCCAGGGCACCAGACGGAGATGACTTTCTTCCAATGCCCTTTCCTGATTTCTTCACTCTCCATGTTAATAGGTTCCTGCCGTGAGCATTCTCTCAATGAACCACTTCTAGGAGATTTCCTGTCTCACACTTTGCTTTTAGGGAACCTGATTAAGGCAGCCCCTCTTTGCCCATCTCCTAATTCCTCATGCCATGTCTCATCCAGAATTTCACAAGAAATGGCCTGTGTGTGGCAAATTGGCTAACATTGGGGCCCGAGGGATTTGTCTTGTAACCGTGTGTACATAGCCTGAAACCTGATTTTACATACAATTTAAGTTTATTTATGGTGAAATTGGGAGAGACAGTTGTTGAGCCTAGAGCCAAATCAAGAAAGCAATCACAGTTACAATGACTACACAAAACTCTATAGGAATATATTTTACCAAGCAGGTGAAGGATCTCTGCAAGATGAACTATTAATACAAAAATACTGAGGAAAGAGATTGTAGATGATAAGCCCAAGTGCCCATCAATCCAAGAATGGATTAATAAAATGTGGTATATGTACACCATGGAGTACTATTCAGCTCTAAGAAACAATGGTGATATAGCACACCTTATATTTTCCTGGTTAGAGCTGGAACCCATACTACTAAGTGAAGTATCCCAAGAATGGAAAAACAAGCACCAGATATATTCTCCAGCAAACTGGTATTAACTGAGTAGCACCTAAGTGGACACATAGGTACTACAGTAATAGGGTATTGGGCAGGTGGGAGGGGGGAGGGGGGCGGGTATATACATACATAGTGAGTGAGATGTGCACCATCTGGGGGATGGTCATGATGGAGACTCAGACTTTTGGGGGGGGAAATGGGCATTTATTGAAACCTTAAAATCTGTACCCCCATAATATGCCAAAATAAAAAAAAAAAAAAAAAAAGCAATACAAATAAGGAAAGAGCATTACGGCATAATATATAATCTCAGATTTGAGTGGCATTTACATAGTATAATATAAACATTACATAGTAATTAAAAAAAAAAAAAAAAAAAAAAAAAAGAACCAATGGACAGACATCCATGCTCATTGATTAGAAGAATATTATTAAAATGACCACACTGCCCAAATCGCTATACACATTCAATGCAACTGCTATCAAATTACCAACATCCTGTCTTTTGGTCTCCCAGTGAAAACATTCTGGGAGGCTAAGGAGCCAGCTTAGTTCATAAAACCGAAGCACAGGGTGCATCTGGCCTGGGGATATAAATTGGTGATTATTCTGGTTTCAGGCATCATTTTCATGTGAATATCTCCTTTGGAGTAGGGTACAAAGTGAGGGGGTGTAGGAACAGAGATTGTAGAATTGATAGTCAAGATTACAGGGACCCACAAATGATTGAAGAACTCTGGGCACTCAATGTGTGAAACATCTTCATAATGTTAATGCATCATATTAACATTGTGATTCTCTCTTTTATTTTACTACCAGGAACACACTGGATGATTGAGATTCTCAGTCTGATCTACTACAATGGGGACCCTAGCTGGGTCCAAACTGTCCCCAATTATGTCAGGTCCCCATGGATAGAGAGTAAAGATTTTCAGGAAAACAAAAAGAAACGGGATGGATCACGCCTCTTGACGTCACATCTCCCTGTACAATTATTCCCCAAGTCCTACTTTACCTCCAATGCCAAGGTGCGTGGATGTGGGTCCTTTTGAAGCGATCTCAGGGGAATGTTCTCTCCTTTGATGAGATGGTGCATCTAAGGAAGTAATCCAAATCCATGGCACATACACCAGTGTCCCTTGCCCCCACATCCATGGCAGTCATAATTAACTGATCATAGTATTCGCTCTGTGAACTCAGAGGTCAGTTCTAGATTTTTCTTAATGTAGTGGGACAGGACAGCTATTAACAATTAATTATTAAAGTTGGCCAAGGGTAAGATCGATTTAGCATTCTTTATCTAACGGGAGAGTGGAAAGGGAAGGCTGCTTGTATTAAAAGAGTAATGGATTGAGAGTGAAGATTTCTGTTGAATAATACCAGCTGTGTTTGAACAGATGAGCACTTTGGGTTTGGGGTATGAGGAAATGTGGATCACTCAGAAGACAGACAGAGATAAATATTCACACTGCATTTTCATAAACTTCTTTTATCTTTTAGATCATTTACATAATAAGAAATCCAAGAGATGTTGTTACCTCTTTGTATCATTTATTAAAAGGAGGATTCAGACACAAGCAACCCGAACAGTTCGATGAATTCTTGAATGACTGTGTGCAAGACAATAGTAAGTAAAACCTAGACTTCTCATTATAAATTTTGTGGGATCACAATAATTTGGATTTTGCATTGATTGTTTCAAAGAGTAAATCTGTGGTCCATAAATGTTTAAAATTTACCCGATGTCATGACAAATACTTAGCGGGAGATCAAAGTTACTATGATTTTATTTAATTCCTTTTTGATTCAGACAATCAGCCCAAATATGGAAACACTTTGTATAGGTGCCTGAATGAATATATATTCTTTATTTCTGTATTTTCGATCCCTTCTGTCATCTCATCATCTTATATTCCTCACGTGGATTCTTTCTTATTGATGATGTATAGATGCTCCTTGACTTATGATGGGGCTATGTCCTAAGAAACTCATTGTAACCAATATCGTAAGTCAACGATGCGTGTAGTACACCTAACCTTCCTACCAAACACCGTAGCTTAGCCTACCCTGCCTTAGAGATGTTCGGAACACTAACATGGATATCGTTAGCCTGGGAAATGATCAAAATTGAAAATTCAAAGTATGGTTTTTACTAAGTGTGTATCGATTTTATACCATTGTAAAGGTGAAACATTGTAAGGTGAACTATTTCCAGTTGGGGATCATCTGTAACAGATTCATTACATAGTTTTTAAATTCTGAATTAACTGAATTTCCTCCTACTCCTTGGCAACATATTTTTCTGTTGAGAAGTTGTTAGAGGCCATTTAGTATGTTGTAGCACTCTGGTTTTCTTTTTATTTTAGATAATTGCATAGTTTCTGTAGTGATCTGTTTTTTACTATTTGGAATGAGGAGACGCTTTTCACATTGAGCTATCATCAGATATTCATAAGTTACTGGAAAGTGTGATTTGCAGGATGTATTCTCGTGGCCTGGGATTTCTGTGAAAGTTGCCACCCTTGCATTATCAATGGCCAAAAGAAATGAGTAGTTCAAAATTCAACATGACTCTTTTCTTCCCACACTACTCCATACACAGAGTACTTATTACAAATATGGTTAGTTTGTATGTTTATTTGTACAACTATGATTCTTATTTTTTGAATCAAACACGTTTTATGGGGGGCTTTCGCCACCATGAAACATGATTTTTATATTCCTGGAAAGCTGTTTGGCTTTGTTTTTCTGGATTTTTTTCAGGATTGTTTTTCGTACGTTTTATCTTGGATAAATGTCATTTGCAAGTTTTTCAAAAATGTATCTTTTACTTTTTGAAATATTTTCAGATCTGTAAAATCTGTAATTTTACAAAGAACTTCCATGTACCTAGATTCGTTAAATGATAACATATTTCATAAGAGTGGTACAATGATCAAAGTCAGGAAATCGGCATTTAAATATTGATACAATACTATTACCTAAGGTAAAGGCTATTCACAATTCGAAAATTACATTCATGTTAAATTTCCAATCCTGGATCCAATCTTAGATCATATGTTGCCTTTTTTAATTTTTAAAAATGTGTATAAATTTATGAGGTACAAGCATAACTATGTTACACAGATAGATTGTTGCCTAGTGGTGCAGTCAGGGCTTTTAGTGCATCCACCACTGGAATAATGACATTGCACCCATTAAGTAATTTCTCATCATCCATGCTTTCTCTGCACTCTACCCTCTGAGTCTCTGTTGTTTATCATTCAACACTCTGTGATCATGTTTATACATTATTTCACTCTCCCTTATAAGTGAGGACATGAAGTATTTGTCTTTCTGTTTCTGGGTTGTTTCACTGATGATAACTATCCATGTTGCTGCAAAATACATGATTTATTATTTTTTATGGCTGAGTAGTATTCTATTGTGTTTATATATCACATTTTCTTTATCCAATCATGCTTTTATAGTTAGATTGATTCCATATGTTTGCAGTTATGAATAGTGCTGTAATAAAAATATGGGTGTAGATATCTTTTTGATATGATTGCCTTTCCTGTGGGTAAAAACCCAGTGGTGGGATTACTGTATTAAATGGTAGCTCTATTATTAGTTCTTTGAGAAATCTCCATAGAGTTTTCCATAAAGGTGGTGCTAATTTACGTTCACACCAACAGTGTATAAGCATTATTTTTTCCTCTCATCCTCCTGATCTGTTATTTTTTTTGTCTTTTTGATAAAGCAATTTTGCCTGGTATAAGATGCTATCTCCTTGTGGCTTTAATTTTCCTTTGTGCTGATGATTAGCATTGTTGAGCATTTTTTCATATGCTTGTTGGCTATTTGTATGTCTTCTTTTGAAAAATGTCTGTTTATGTTCTTTGCCCACTTTTTAACACGATTGTCTTTGTTGTTGTCGAGTTGTTTGAGTTCCTTGTAAATTGTGTGTATTGGTCCCCCATTGGATATATACTTTGCAAATATTTCTCCCATGCTGCAGGTTGCCTGTTCACTCTATTGATTAGTTCTTTGGCTGTGCAGAAGCTATTTTGTTTACTTAAGTCCCATTTGTCTATTTTTATATTTGTTGCTTTTGCTTTTCAACTCTTTGTCATACATTCTTTGCCTAGACCAATGCCAGGAAGAGTTCCACTAGGTTTTCTTCTAGGATCTTTATAATTATGGATGTTACATTTAAGTTAATAATCCATCTTGAAGTATTAATAATTTTTGTATATGGTGAGAGATAGGGGTCCAATTTCATTCTTCTTCACATAGCAATCAATTTTCCCAGCATCATTTATTGAAAAGTTATCCTTTCCTCATTGTAAGTTCTTGTTGATTTTGTCAAATATCAGTTTGCTATAGATATGTCACTGTATTTCTGGGTTTTCTATTCTATTTTATTTATCTATTTGTCTATTTTTATACCATTATTCTTTTGTGGTTACTGTAGCCTTGTAGTGTAATTTGAATTCAGGTAATATGATGCCTCCACTATTTTCTTTTTGCTTAGGATTGCTTTGGGTATTTGGTCTCTTTTCTGGTTGCATATGAATTTTAGGATTGCCTTCTCTAATTCCGTGAAAAATGATGTTGGCATTTTGACAGATTGCATTGAATCTGTAGATTCATTGCTTT